ATATAATTTGTGAAAAAAAATGTCCAACAAGCCCCAGGGTTGAATATCGGGGGGGGGGGGGGGGGTCCTGTCCCGAAGTACCTGTGGATAAAACACACAGTCTTCACAGAATTGATAGATCTATGAAGGCCATTTGCTTGACGTGGGCCTAGTGCTCACAGGCACTTGTTTCGTATACGGGGCACCCCTACTTATTTTTACCACAAGGTGCCTAACTCAATTTCAGGCATCCCCACTTCAAGCTCGTATTTTGTTCATATATCAATCATTAACCTACTTTAAAATTATATCGTTCGCTTCGAGAGACTTTTTTCTTTTCAAATAAATCCTTTCAGACGTCTGTGCTAGTGCTGTCTGGAAATCTCATCATTTTCATATTTTGCGTACAGTTTTTTTCTGACTCGTGTTGTTACTCTCCTTCCGGCCTGAATAGAACTCATGCATATTTCGTGCCATTGCTGGCAGATTTGAATATGTAGCGGTGAGTTGTAATCGCCAATAGTTTTATAGATAAAATGTAGCGGTAATGATCACCCGAAATTCAAAGAAATGTAGCGGTAATGAGTTGAAATTTTTCGCAATGTAGCAGTAATGACCTCCCGTTTTGGAATACACAATGTAACTGCATTGCTCCTCGTCCGTTTAAATTTTCACCGAAGACATATTAATTTTTTAATATATCAATAGGTTTAATTTAATTTTACCTCGTCTTAACATTTAAATATTCTTGAATAATTCCTTTACGTCCTTATAAAAAATTTATCTGATTTTTTAAATCATATCTCCATTCGAAAAAAATGTAGAAAGCGCTATTTTTCTAAATACGCATTTCAACAGTAAAACAATAAAAAAAATTGCACAACAAACTACACCGCGTTTATAGTAATATTTCAATTAACCTAGATAGGCAAACTAAATAAATAATACAGATAATACCGGTATGTCTCAAAATGCACTGAGCATTAGAACAATTAAAATTTTGGGATATGTTTTCTCGTGAATATTTTTTCCCAGTAAACCCGCAACCTATCTTAATTACGTTTTCTAGTTACGTTATGCACATTATGCTGACACGGCACAGTGTTTACTGAATTGAATTTCATTTATGAAAGATATTAAATAAACATGTATGGAAAATTATTAAAATGAAACAGCAAATCACATAACTTGTTTGTGTTGACACACGCGCTTTTGAAGAACTTCTTGTGACTATTGTTAATAGATACAGTGTACTCCGCATTACAAAGTAAAACATGCTTGTAGCCAGATGCCAGGGACGAACAATTTTAATCCGTTATAAAGGTAATTCATTATATCGCATAAAAGTGACTTCTTTGATTATAGTATCCATGGACATCATATTATATAAATACTGCATGTATATAGTTGAGGGTAACATTGTAAATTTTCAAATGATACCCTCTACTACATGTAGTATTTATTATATTATTCTGGGTGTTTTATACAAATACTGTAAATAAAGATGAAGCGCTCGCGCATACATTCTGGGCGGTATTTTTCTTGGGGGGGGGGGGGGGAGTTGATATCACTCGTCGTCAAGCAATGTTGACTGTTACTAAATTCTATCTGGAAGGCGTGGTTTCATCATTCAGAGGGTCACAGTGTTTTTTAAACAAATGTTTCTCAAAGAATCAAATTCCAGTAATTTACATAAAAGTATAATATACCAAAATAACGATGTTGTATTTCCGGGCCCTCAGATACTCTTGCAAAAATCTATAATATACAGGCCAACGGACTAACAAGCTCATTTCATTAGGCCACAGTAAATAAATGCTGTGTTTTGCGTCCCCGGGTTTTTTTCCTTCAAATTAAAATGTAGTAAAACTGAAAAAAAAAAAAAAAACTTCCCAGAAATACAAATAAATTGACAAGTAATACATGTACTTCCTTTAAAGAGAAGTGACTGATGCTATCAAAATAAAGCATGCATTGAATTAGTTTTAAGCTCTACTTGTCGATTTTATATGATAGAAAGATTTTATGCAATGGTAGTGTCCGTCATTTGTAAGTGTGGACTTCTTGTATCTCTTCCTACAGTTTTGCCCGATTTAAATAAAACTTGGTATATACAAGTAGAGTACGCTAAGATACACAGAATTCTTTGTTTCACTTTTTTTATTTCAGTGAACGGTGTTGCCATGGTCACAAAAAAGAACTTCTGTGACGTTCAAAAGTGCACTATGATTTCACCAATCTTGTAATTATAGGTTTAACTACATGGTGCACATGAAATTACACCAGTCAACGTTGTACATGTAGTGGTTATCTACATACTACATAAAATTTCTTAAATACCACAGTGACTGGGATATGATCTTGATGCATACATAAAACACAAAGAGGAAGGACAACAATTTTATACCCAGTCTTCAGATAATGCGTTCATTCGTTGAACTTTATGGGTTTTTAGGGGGGGGGGGGGGCACTGAAACTCGTGCTTAATTATTATTTTTTTTTTATTTTCATTTTGAATAAATAAATGATGAATTATTACTAAGGAATAAAATCAAGACACTTCAACTCTTGTAGCATGAAAATTGAATTTAGTGAACAGAACTTTTGTGGATTTGTGATCTCGGCAATGTGCTATCAATAGAAGGAAGAAAACTGGTTTTAGGTTCCTTAAATATTTCCAGAATTTCTTTAATGGAGTGTGCTCCAAAGCCCTGGTTCAATACCACCTGTATCCAACCTTATTAAACAAGCATTCTGAGAGTATTGCATTAGCAATACTAGTCCCCTACCGCCAAGTGTAATCTGGTTCCTGTTAAGAATTGAAAATGCCATAATTCCGTCAAAAATTAATGAAGCAGGACGAAATGCAAACTTGATCTATAATTAATCAAGGTATAGCCACATACCAAAAATCAGCTCAATATCTGAAAGCGTTTAGAAGAAAATTGCGGAAAACCCCTAAAAATTGAAAAGGCCGTAATTCCGTCAAAAATCAATGAAGCGAAACGAAATGCAAACTTGATCTGTAACTCATCAAGATACACCCACATACCAAAAATCAGCTCAATATCTGCAAGCGTTTAGGAGAAAAGTGCGGAAAACCAAGTGGGACAGACTGACAGACAGACAGAGGGACAGACAGACAGACAGATGGACAGACAGACGGACGGACAGACAGACGGACGGACAGACGGACGGACAGACTCAGAGGAAACCTATAGTCCCCTCCGGTTTCACCGGTAGGGGACTAATAATATATTATTTTTCTTAACCCCTTCCATCAGTATCATCAAAGTGGAAATTTGAAAAAAAAAAAAAGTGGGGGGGGGGGGGGATTCTCATACAAGTACACAAAATGTGGAGCGGGGGGGGGGGGGGAGTTGAGGTTGCTTAACATTGTCACTGATTTCTTTATTGAAAGTAGATTTGATATCCTCAATATCACCCATGAAATTTAGTACTCTGTATTGTAGAAAAACCCAAGCGTGTGTCTTTCAGTAGCGTTTTTTCCTTGAACAAAGTAACTCTCATGGCCCCAGCCATCACAATCTCAAACTTCACCACACCCCAAGTCATACGTAATTTCATACACAATTCACTAGTTCATCATAAACTCCAAGTTGTAAAGGACGGTGGCAGGGAGAGTGACAAATTTTGGTCCCTAGATTTGGTAGGGCCAGCCTGAGGCATGTTACCGGGTATTGCAAATGCAAACAAAGAATCTTTTAAGATATACATAGATATTTGATAAAAATGAATACAAATTTACTTTATTACTTTATTAATTCATTTATATAATGAGAATATTTTAGCACATTGAAGAATACGGGCTAGGCTAGGAGATCAAATATTAAAACAGACTGATATATTTCAATTTTGGACCTCAAACATTACTTCCACTGAGACTTGAAATATAAATAGTAAATAATGCCTATCTCTTTACATAATTTCAAATTTGATTTTAAAAAAAATGATAAAAAAGAACTTGTAATAAAAAAAAACACCTGACCAGAAGGATCACTTGAATCTTTACAATTAATTTCATTAATAAGTCAACTAATTCTGAACAATATTTGCATATAATATACTGGTTTACACAGATATAGATATGTGCCACACACAACCAAGTACAAATTCAAATTACTTCTCAAATAAGTAAAAACCCTCACAAAGACTTCAAAATGAAAACTGGACCTTTATGACTAGGCTTAATTCATCTTTTTCCATTAAAATCATTTATTATTTTAAAAAATTAAACTCACTTTGTTTCTTCAGAAAAGCTAGGGTGTACTTTTATGATCTTAAAATTATATGAATGAAAATGTAATACACTGAAGATGCCAAAAGCCAAAATGCTTGCCTGAGACATTTTGTGTCTACTGTTCTTAAAAAGATTGTTTTTAAAGATTTTCCCCCTCCATATTCCTATGAAAAAAGTTGACACTTCTATACATGTACAATTTAAACCCTAATTTCAGTCCGTTTCTAACCCCAATGCCCATAAATTAAACAAATTTAAATGTTGACACATAGATACATGCAAAATGAAAACCTTACTTTTAGCCCCAATGTCTATAATTTGAACAAAATTAAATCCATATGATGTTGTAATGTTTGCATATGACTTTGATTTATGTCACCCTGCTAGTTTTTCACTTATACCTATTTTCATGCAAAACATTTAACCCCTTCTGCAGCTCTATACCCTCACCTTAGGGGCAATGAAAAAAACTTGAATCTATGCTCATTAAGAAAACTCTTGGATAACATTTGTCTTATATGACCAAATAGATCATAAAATGAAAGTTTTTAAATGTCTTTGACATTATCCCATTTTTCATATTTTTTCATTATCTCCCCTTGGAAAAGGATGCAGCCCTTTATTTGAATAAGCTTTATAACTCCTTTTAAGCTGAGATACATTGTACCAAATGTGGTTTACATTGACCAAATGTTAAAAAAAAATAGAAAATGTTAAAAGTTAATGGAGGAAAACACTCAAACATATAAATAATGCATTGTTGGACACCAAAGACTTCTTTTTATCAGAATTGCGATTGAACCTTTGCAATTGAGCCTTTGAATCAGGTGAGCTAAATTCCATATCCAGGTTTAGCTATGGACCTTACTGTTAAACCAGGTGTGTTGTATCTCCTTGAAATAATTACACCATATACAAATGTAATTTTAAGGCAGTATGTTTTTAAATGTACTTTTAAAGCTTTAATTCAATTGTCACAGCAGATTTGGTGTAACTTCCAAGAAATATTTTCCGCATTGGCTGGCTCTCTCAGTTGGGCATTCAAGCACTCAAAATGGCTGCATGATTCGATCATTTTTTCTGATGAACACTAGGAATTTTCATTTGTCCTGGTTTTCTTCTTCAGCCCACCATCATGCATGCATCTATATTGAAATTAAATTTAAATGATCATTTAATCAAGCATGTTTTAAAAAAAAACACGTCCAATCATAAAATCCTTCCTGCATATTTATACATTATCATTTTATAAACTGTATGTTGCCCTACAATGTACATGTACTTATAATGTGCTACTTTTGTTTTAAATGTAATCCTTATACATTCTACTGTTATATGTATATGTTAATTGTTATTTTGTAAATGAAAATAAATTTCAAAATAACAATCATCCTGATAGTATTGCATAAGCTACTGGCAAGTCACAGTTATCTGGTTCCCAAAGGCTATAATTCTGTCAAAAATCAACAAAGTGTAATGAAATGCAAACTTGATCTGTAACTTATCCAGGTACACTCACATATACTTAAAATCAGCTGAATACACATGTATCTGCGAGTGTTTAGAAAAAAAAAATCCAGAAAACCAAGTGACGAAGACTGAAAGACAGACTGATGGACAGATAAGGGGGAAACCTGTACTCCCCTCCGGTGTCACTGGTAGGGGATTAATTAAAAATAATTACATACGGTGTTCAAATATTTTGAAGACTCTCTAAAACAGTAGTTTATTCATTAATTTAAAAATGAACATCATAAAAATATTGATCTCTAAGTACATGTGTACATGAACATGATGTGTCATATACATGTAGAACATGCTTACTAAATAAATTAAAAGGAAAACCCCACTTTTCAGAGCATAGCTGTAAAATAAAACAAAGAAGTGTGGAAAACCAAATGGAACAGACTGACAGTTAGACCGTGAAGGAGAAAACCTATAGTCCCCTCCAGTTTCACCGACAGGGGACTAATAAAATAAGAAGTTTTAACACCCCCTCAAAAGTTAAAAGACCCAACTTTTTTTTAATTGAGAATTTTTTTTCTAAATAGTGATAATCTTACATTTGGTGATTAAAACAGAATATAAAATTTAAAACTAGATTCACATAAAATTATGATGAATAAAGAGTAAAGAAAACATTTTTTAAACATTAGAAATTTTAATTGATCCTTTTTAGCAAATATTTTTCATCACTTGCATCATTCTTGCTATGGCAGATTAAAATTTGAAGAAAGTAATTATCAAGAATATTAGATGTAAAGGTTGCAGGGGCTTTTTAATGACAATATTGTGTGTAGGAAGTTTTCACATATATACACTGCGCTGTAGAAAGCCTGTCCATTGCTAGAATTCATTCACTATTCGGTGTCGCCTGCAGATCGGCACTGAGGGATCACTTTACCAAGCATCTGTCTGTGTCTAGCTGTCCGTCTGTCTGTCACACCCTATATCTCAATTAGAGGTATGGATTTGATATTTTGCACATACATTGATTGGCACTACAGCTTTTGTAAATTATCATGGAGGTACTGACCTTGTGACCTTGACCTTTAAAATAGTTCATAGTGCTGATATACAACATATATTTGACATTTAAGTGGTAATTCTATGCTATTTAGCATGTATACTATTTGTCATAAGGCAAAAAATATCAGCATTACAATCCACTTGACCTTGACATTTGACCTTATTTGCAAAAAATATCTTGGGCAGTTAATTAAACTTATGAATATTGAATTTTGAGAGGCAGGGTTTAGATAATTAGCATTAATATATGTTCATGATCTCATGATTATGTACTTTGAAACCGGCTATGATATTCAGTTACCAGACAAACTTTAGTATATTCAAATACTATGAAAATAAATCGTGATGGGTATTTCATAATGGATCATGTAGACTAAGATTTGCAGTAAACACATGGTAAAGATAGACTGAAATTTCTTTTGAATGCTTGTTGGAAACATGTTTAGCTCATGAAAAAGTACTTTGAAACTGTATAATATTCTGATACCACACAAACTTATACATATATTTAAAATACCATAAAAATACATCGGGATCAGTATTCAACAATGGATCGTGAAGACTGACAATGGTTGCAGTAAAGACAGACTGAAATCTTTTGGAGGATTGTTGGAAACAATTAATAAAATGATAAATAGTTATTTCTAATAAATTCAAATTTAAATGTTTATTTGACATGTCTTTGAGGGTTAAGGAACCATATTTTCTTTGATTGTCAGATTCTATTGCAGTCGTATACTTAATCCATGTATGTCTTTTTTTTACAGGCAAATGCATGAACTATCAGTTTATCATACTTTATATATAGTAATTAAGTAAAAAGCTGACCATGCACTCATAGATTTGTTTACACCTGAAATGAAACTACAAAGCAGGTGACACATGTGTTCCTTGAAACATGTACTCTTGTTTAAATATGTTGTCTACATATACACTTAATGTCTTCAGCATATCCCTCTTATCGGTTAAATTTACAAAATTAATTGACATGTCTGCTTTCAACAGATTTTATCTAAAAGTATCTAATGATTTTATTGCAATTATAAATTCATTAAATATATAATTATGTCCTTTATTTGTCGCACATAGTCTTTTAATTAGGGGTGTATTGTTATACCAGTATATGGAGATACCTTTCAACTGAAGTTGGTTTCCAGTTAAAAGCAATAAATTATCTTAACTCTTTTTTTTTTATTTGTCAATTTAAAAATTAGAAAAGAATTCAAGTCATCGTAAAGTACACTGTACTTTACAAAATGTAATTTCTTTTTTTTCGTTTTTTTTTTTTTTTGTTTGTTTTTGTTTTGAGATATAGAATTTTGTATTAATTATTTTATAAATTATATTTATAAACAAACCTTATTTCATAATGTTTGAAGAATGCATTTATTCCTAACAATTTTACAGTGAAAACTTTTATGATTTTTTATATTCTACAGTAGAACACGTAGAACAGAAGTAAAAAAAAAAGTGATATGCATCAATATTTATCATAAAACACAATTAAGTCAAAATATTGTCATGATTAATTTTTTTTGCATTTCGATACTCATCCCTACTTTTAACTCAATGAATCTTTACTCTAGACTTTGTAATTTTTGAATGAGAAAGCATTTATGAGATTAGATTCAAAGCAAAGCTAGGGGCTGACAACAAAACAAGAGGCCTATGGGCCACAACACTCACCTGAGTCACTTTGGCCCTGCTGTTCTGCAACAGGTTTTCCCCCAATATACATGTATTTCTATGTAAAATTTTGATTGTATTTTGTGGCCCCATCATATATATAGTCATCTTCGCTAGCCAAGGGTTTCTGATACGCTACTCTCCTCATAAGCCCTTGGCATACGGTGTTAAAAAAAGTTGGGATTTTTTTCTCAAGCTGTGATTGGAGTTGGTCGACATCATTCGACCAATCAGCAATTGTTTTTTGTAAATGACGATATTTGCGTTCGGGATATATCTTGACTCTTTAATATCGGGAATGAAAAACGCAAGTAAACAACGATCCGTAAGATAACATGCCATTCTATGAGTCATCCAATATCTTAAGCTACGTGCAAAATATGTGATTAAGAATCTATACTGAAGATGTAAATTTGCATTTTAACTTGTTTAATAACAAATCAACATAACTCAATACCTTCTTGTTAATTATTCTTTAAAAAACATTATATTTTTAAATACGCTTTTTATTTCTGTCGATGACGCAATCTGTGCGTACCTGGTAAGAAGCGTGATCACGTGACGAAAACAATCACGTCTTTTGTCAGCACCGTATGCCAAGGGTTTATGAGGAGAGTAGCGTATCAGAAGCCCTTGGCTAGCGAAGATGATATATAGTGGCCATTATTTGTTAAAAAAAAAAATGAATCTACGCTACCAGAGGATGCTTCCACATTAATATGATTCATCATGGCTTTGTTGTTCTTGAGAAGAATTAAGCATTTTAAAGATTTACCCAATATAATCCCTATATTGTGCCCCAGAAAGCTTGCACCTAATTTTCATCTTTTCTAGTCCAATATTTCTTGAGAAGAAGATATTTAAAATTTTTTCCTATATATTTCAATGTAAAAGTTTGATCCCCTATTGTGCCCCACCCTACCCCCAGGGGACATGTTTTGAACAATTTACAATCTACACTATCTCAGGAAGCTTTCAACTAAATTTTATCTTTACTAGTCCAGTAGTCTTGAGAAGAAGATTTTTAAAGATTTTTTTCCTATATATTTCAATGTAAAACATCCATTCCCTATTGAGGCCTCACCTTATCAGCTTTTCTGCCACAGTGGTTCTTGAGAAGGAGATATCTAAAGATTTTTCCTATAAGTAAGTACGTATTGTGGCCCCATCGTGCCCCTCTCCTCCCCCCCCTCCCCCCCCACCCCCGGTGGCAAGATTTAAATAATTTAGAATCTACACTACCTCAGGAAGCTTCCATATAAGTTTCAGCTTTTCTGTCTCATTGCTTCTTGAAAAAAGATGTTTCAATGACCCCACCCTATTTGCATTTTCCTGATGATCTCCCCTTGGAAGGGAAATTGGCCCTTCATTTTAACAATTTAAAATCCCCTTTACCCAAGAATGTTTTGTACTTTGCTTAACTTTGGCCAAGTGGTTCTTGAGAAGAAGTTGAAAATGTGAAAAGTTTACATATGGCAGACAGACATGTGATCAGAATAGCTCATTTGAGCTTTCATCTCAGGTGAGCTAAAAACTCAAAAAGAGGGAGGGGGTGTAAAGTCATACATGCACCTTGTCCTTTAGCTTTCATGAAAATTGAAAATATATGTATTTAAAAAAATCAATGAGAGAAACTACATGTAAAAATTAGTTAAAATTAAATGGTAGTAATCATAATTGTTAGGTTATTAACAATCAAGATAAATGTTTAATTCAATTACCAATAAAGAGATCCAAGTTTAAAGCCATATTTCCAAAGGTTGATTCTTTGTCATCAAAACTCCTAAAATCCGTCTTAGTCTTAACTTGCACATCTTCCTTGAATTTTTGACAATCATGATTTTTGTTAATTTTGTCAGTTCAACAGTATTTCCTGACTTTATGGAAGTCTGAAGAAAGTCCTGAGGATTACACTCTACTATTCTCTTTTTTCACACTCCCATGGAATTTATTCTGATTTGTCATATTTGGTTTCTCACAATCCTTAAATCTTTCTAATGTGGCTATACATGCTTCCTTTAAACTTGGTTGATATCATGTGTTCTATAATCCACCACAAGCTGTAGAACAGAGGTCCTTCTTCTTACAGGGTTTGTTGCTAAGAAATGTTCATAACTGAAAAGATAAAGTGATTCCCATCTATTAGAATGTTGAAGACCTTTAATGAAATATCAAGATTACAAACAGTATTCAAGCTCAAAAGAGGTGGGATGAGTTATCATGGAGGAATAAGCATCCCCTGTCAACTAGTTACACCTGCTGTGAGCTCCTTGTCATAATAGGGTGAATGGATAAATCTGTAGACACTTCAGTATGAAAATAACAGCCTAACAATTTCTGTATGAAAAACATCAGTAAACACTTGACTTATCTGTAGACTATATTTGTTAACAAGGTCATTGTAACAAACACAGAATTTGCAAAATGTTGGCTATACCTGTATCATCAACTTATTTGCCAATAGCTTGCCTCATTTTAGTTATTGTTTGTACTTGGTACACATGCTCTTGCCCTTTGAATCAAATGGGAGACATAAACTCCATATGCAGGTGATAATGCTACATAAGTAAGAGAAGTTAATAATAGAAAAATTAAAGTTACGTGACTGTTTATCATAAAGTTTAATTGTTACCTTGCCATTAATGTCTTTAGTAAAATATTCAAATATGAAACAGATGTATAAGCCTCTGTGGTGTCTTCAATTTTGAGTTCAAAGAGATATGCATGTGAATGAAAAAAATTAAATATAATGAATAGTGATCAATCTTAGAAAATCTATAAACAATACAAATCTGTGAAGTGCCTGGCAAAAAACAAGGACCCCCTGGAAATTCCACAGGTGGGATCAGGTGTCTAGGAGGAGTAAGCATCCTCTGTTAACCGGTCACACCTGAATAAGTTAATGTAGGAATAAAAATGAATAATTACTATCCATTGATAAAGCATCATCAGTATATCATTATACATAATATATCTAGTAATGTACCGTTAGTGTGTATAGAACAGGAAATACAAAATATAGTTATTTATAAAACACTGTATTTTCAATTTCAGGTCATCATATTAAAAAAAAATCCTATATTTCCAAACATTGAGGAGGACTGGTGGCTTTCATTTGTTTCATTGTATTTAATCATGTAAATAATGTGCCTGACCACAAACATATGGCATGTGGCTTACATGTAATCGTGCTATATTACGCATGCATCAAAATTTAATTCTAATTATTGCTTTGCTTAGTGTTCACACGGAGTTAATGCAAAGAAATTTGATGTGCAGTAAATTAATTTGAATTAACTTATTTGCATTAAATTCTCCATGTGAATGTGGTTCAAATTTAATTTGTATTAACTTACGTTCAATTCGAATTAAACCCTCCTTGTGAAGATGACATAAAATGTACATATCTCATACTGTACACCCTCAACAAAGTTTCACAACCAGTTAATACATATTCTTTTCAGCTGTCAAAATCACATTCGCATGATTAAAATGAAAGTGAATGTTAAGTTGAATACCGATCCCGATTAGACTAAAGACAATTAAAGGACTGTTAAGGACCCTCTATACACTAAATCAAAAATGTTTTTAGTCCAAGATAAATAAATTGAATACTTTATTTGCATGTGTTTTCTCACTTAAATAAACAATGTGTAGAGATTTCTGTTCATCAATACTTTAATGTCTTTGAATATTTTTCTTAGGGTGTAATGTACCCTATGCTGAACATGTTGAAATTCAAGAAAGTAAAGTATAGATCTGATTAGCTCATTATGTATACCTTTATATAATATGATTTTCTTATTCAATTGTTAAGAATGCTTGCATTAACTAAAATTCAATAACAGACTGCTAGGATTTCAATAGATTTATTAAATTTGATTTAGACCCCAGGGTGAATCAGTCTCTATCTCCATAAAATACCATAAAATCAGAGCTCTTTGGTGTACAGTATATTCAAGTGGAATATAATTTAAAATTGACATAGAGTGTAATTGATTTGTATATGAAAACTGAAATTAAAATAATCATGGAGGGTAAAAAATTGGGAGGGGGTTACAATCTTTCAGACTTCTTCTAATTCCATCAAAAAATATATACAGAAAGCTTAATTTATGCAATCTAAGTAATACACAGATGATAATATTTCTTGTTCATTTGAAATTACATATAATATTCTTGGCACACAGACTTGTTCACTATCAACAACATGCTTACCTTTTAAATGAAATTTTAATAATCTGGTTAAAGTGGTAACAGATACTCTTTATTAAAAAACTTCTCTTAACATAATTGATCACTCAGGTTTACAGGGTCTGCCAGTCAATCGATATCAAACATTAATTAATAATGATTCCCTCTAAAAGATAATGAGGCCCCTTATATTTTTTGTTGTTATTGTCTTGTCTTTTATTGTCTTGTTTAGTATTTTTAATACACTTACAAACAACTTATTTCTTAACACTAAATAATGATTTAAGTTGACTTCGGTCTGAGTAATGACTGTGCTTTTCCAGTCACTGCACTTAAAAATACTAAATGCATCTGCTGTAAGTTTTACTCGCATTAAGGTGTTGATTATATTCTGTAGAAGCACAAATTTTCGTGGGGATAAAATTTTGTTATTTGTTATCTGAGAAGGTTTTGTGGGCATTAAATTTCGTTGTTACGAATGTAACCCTACTCATTATTCTGAAATGTAAAATTTCATGTGGGATTTAATTTCGTTGAATAGATAATGTTAACAATTATGGTTAACAATGAACAACTGTCGAAATAAAGGAATGTTTCTGCTTTAAAAGCATATACATGTATTGTATATATATATATGCATGTATATATATAAAATGTAGCTTCTCTGGCCTTTCTATTGATAATGTAAATAAGTGAGCAGAGTCATCTAGTGTGATTACATTTTTTATTACCTTGAGGGGAAAAATCATAAAACCTGTTGAAATTTTTGATTTTTTTATTCTACCGGTAATTGCTAATAGATCCAGTTTTACATAATACCAATGTTAGCTTCACTAATTTATGCATAATTAATCCCATATTCAAAAAAAACAAAAATGACTTTTCCCTGCGTTTTCCAGTGCCTCATGTTAGAGTGGGAGTGAGTTAAAAAAAACTGCAAGATTTCAAACAGCTGCAAATCTCTGTTATTTATGTCTCTATGATGTACACCCTTGATGACAGAAAACTTTTGAAGGATTTATAAATATTTGTAAATGTTCAATCATAATTCCATATAACATACTTGTATTCTCTGCATTTGGAAAATCTTAATTTTCATTTATTTTTTTTTTTAAATCCCTGAATGGAAGTAAATCTCTTCATTTTGAATTTCAGTGGTTGCATTATACCCCAATAAATACATGTATAAGTGTGTATCCCTCCTTCTTTGTTTTTGTTTTTTTTGTTTTGTTTTGTTTTGTTTTGTTTTTTTTTTTTTTTTGCTGAAAATAAAAGTGTGCACACAATAAAAGAGAATTTATAGTAGTTCGTATTTATTTAATATATTAATACATTACATGGTATACCCCAATGACAACAATGGCCAATGGTGTAGTATTAATTATCTGTACTGTTTATTATGGAAAATAGCTAAATAATGAAAATTATTGGTATGACTGTCAGTTTCAAACATCTTTTTTTTAATATCCCATTTAAATAATTTTTATTTTACTCTTTATCTGGACTATATGTATCACTGGTGAAGTTCGATCTTTGTCTTTTAAACTGAACCTTTAATTTTTTTATACTGGCACAATTAACTGATAACATACAGACTTAATTTTAAATTTATTAATCCTCCCAAATATTTGCCGGTCTTGGGCCAACAGACTGTCATTAAGGTAAATAAATATTACATGTAAAACACTGATTCATGACTGTAGTATGAAACAATGCAGGAAAAGGTATACAGATCATGCTGACATACACAAACACATTATCATGAACATGAACTCAGATCATTAGAACTTCAGGTAGTGTTTGTTTTTTTCCTGACATACCATAAACTTCTCCCTGCTGTGTTCTGGGAATCCATGAACATTGATAATTTTCTGATCCGAAATCAATGAATCTACCTGAAATGTATTATAATAATAACATCAGTTTTAAAACATGAATTCCAGGATGATAAATAAATAGGAAAATATTCTTTAATGACTGTAACTTAGTAGAAGTCGCATCATTTTCATGAATCATCACAGTCAGGGACCTATATACTAGTATATAGGTCCCTGTCACAGCTATATTTACATATATTCTCTCAAAATTGTCCCAATGCAATAATGAGTGCATGTCAATAAAATGACAAGTATCAATCTTTAAATTCTCATACTTTGAAATCTTTGTACATTAAAATTAGGGCATGTCACTGTCTAAATGCACAGCATGTCTTTGACATAAATATCAACTTATATTATAAGCTGCACTATATCTTCAGTTTGTCAGGGCTAGAAGATCACGTTGAAGCAGGGACCTATACATGCTTAACAATTATATCATTATGTCCCTGGGAGAAGTAAACAGCTGCCCCCCCCCCTCCCCTTTCATAATTTAAATGTGCAGAAATTATTTCTAATATTCACGCCACAGAAGTACATGTGTTTTTTTAGTTGACAGCTTAATGTGTACACAATATTAACAATGATTTTAGCAGCCCACGTACCTATATATAACCCAGGCAGACTGAACGTTTCCCCTGCCCATAACACATGGCGTGACCGACTCTACTTTCGTTTTTAATACGAAACCTTCGAACTTGACATGACACATAAACAAGATGCGAAACGCAAGAAAACATTTAAAATTTTTGACAATATATATTGCTACACATTGCAAAAGATCAACGTTGATTCAATGAAATTGAAATATTAGATGCAGAAATAGTTTCTCTCCGCGAGTACAACAAATGCCAATACGGAACGTGTTTACCTTCCCAGAGACATACATGTAGATATAGAAAAAATTTCTTTATGTTTTTACTAACATTAATAATAATAACTTTTAGTATATTGGTTTTAACCATTTATACTGCAATCATGCAACGATGCACATTGTAACTATACAGCATATACATGTATACATACCGTAGGAAAAATATTGAGTAGACAATAATGCCGTAATGTCATAATGGACACACATCTTTACTCATTAATTCATAGGCCATATTTAATACATAAAATTTTTCATTTATTTATTAACAGATTTTTTACTTACCTTTTACAAAGTTTACTTCGTCCTCATGTACATGACTAAGTGTGAAACGGGTACTGTATTGTGATGTCATTTACGACGTCATTTGAGTAACGAGCATGCGCACTCGCAATGTGTGTAAGTCTCGCCGAGAAGAAAAAATGATGGATCCGTGGTCATCTTATACACACTCATTACACAGATCTCATGCATCCGGTCAAATTAACACTTCATTTTTTTGAAATGGGATGCATCCTAGGACATTTTCCAGTTGATTTATGATAAAATCCAACTGAACACCACCATTTCGTGTTCATTTGGATTTTTCCGTGTTCATTTAAACGTGTGCCGTCTAAAGCACGTGTCCAATTGACAGGGTTTACAAACACACACACACACACACACAAAAAAAAAAAAAAAAAAAAAAAAAAAAACAACTAATGACCCAGCTTGACACAGATCCTTAAGCTTATCTTCCAAATCTTTTAATCCTGCTTCATCTACAAATAAGGATATTCAGGCTTCTCTTCTTCGATATCGTCTGGAGAAACGGGTAGAGGATCTTCTTTATCTTCTTTTTCGATATCATCTGGGTCCAATTTAGTAATAAAGAATCTGAAATATGTTGGCTCAATCGTCCAGAGTGTAAAGGTTGAACTATCATCCTGGGCAGTGCGGTCACAAACTTCGTCTTGTCTATGCATGTAAGGGTGAGGGATTTTGCCGTAGTAATAGTTGTAAGTTTGAAATGTTTTTTGCTTGTCTTCCAAATTCTCATTTTGATGATGACGTGAGCGAGCCTGTGAAAATATTATTTTAAGATGATAACGAGAAAGGGCTTAATATGCGAATTCAAACACCACAAAAATTCTTTAATTGCAATGAAATCTTTAATGAACATCCATTTCTGAATTTCACTTACCTAGTAATAGAGATTGTTCTTTCTGACGTATCCGTATACGTATCCGTATCCGTATACGTATCGAGGTATGAGAGGCATCTCGATCCCGATGATTTAACCGTGGGTACCATTTCCATCGTTTCTTGTTTGATTTTAACCTCATTCATTGGAAAATAAGATATATAGTAATATTTCTAATAAAACGTATCAAGTTGCTGTTCACACCTACCATTTTATGGAAGGATTTAAAAAAAAAATGAAATTAGTAAAAAAGTATGTATATTTTTATTAAATTGTTTAAAAATTTAAAAAAGGTTAAAAAGGGACTTCCCCCTTCTCTCTCTCTCTCTCTCTCTCATACACACACACACACACACACAATATCAGGATATATTATTGTTTCATTCTCGAAGTAACCTTTACCAGTAAAAGACATATTCCCCATAATGCATACAGTCAACGCTCTTTATCTCTTGCAACTTGATTGGACCAATTAAAACTTCGATATATCCAAGGATTTGAGTTAACAAAGTTTAACTGTACGAGGTGTCAGAGATCAAACATTCTAGATGAGTATAAGTTTGTATACATCAAGCAGACCCTAAAAATTGATTAACAAAGTGGAGAAGGGGGAAGCTGGGCCGAGGCACGCAGTACAGTTAAGGCTACACATGAAGATAATATGGTAATGAGGTCATAATGAGGTTTGACGTCATGACAGTTGCTCCGCCTTGATAGATCCATATAAGGAAATAGAGCTCAAAAAAGCTATTTAATGATGATTGCGAGAATTTGTAATGAATGTCTGTATTTTCAGGTTTAAATAAATAAACATTAGTGATTTTCTCTTATATAGTAACAACACGTCTTCGAAATAATTCTCTTTTTGTTGTGTCGTTTGGTTGCATTCAGCTTCAACCAAGCGCTTGCACTCGGTGACACGGAATGTTGTTTACATCTAAAAACGTGGCGACAGCAGCTGAGATATGCAGTGGATAAATGCAACAATCAGGCAATCTTTAAAGAGAATAGGGATAAAATAAGAGACCTGGGCCTTGTTTATCTTTTTGATGAGAAGATGATGACGTTATTTCGGGAAATCATGGAAAACTGAGACGATCCGCACTACCTCCCTAGGTCCCTTTCTTTTCATTAAGGTGTGTATGTGCATAGGTATTAACATGTAGACATACTATTCTTTACATCGATGTAAAATAACCTTGAACATGTACAATAAGATGTATTGTTACAGTCCGTCACAAACTACAATGCAGTGCCTTGTGTGTACCCCCCCCCCCCCCCCACACACACACACATACACAAAAACACACACATTATGAAAGTTGCACACTTTTAAATATGCAATGTTGTCCTTTGGCATATATGTACAAACATGTAACATAATATAAGCACAGCACGTCATGATATCAAATAGTATAATTTAGATGCAGTCACACTTACAGTGTATTTGTGAAGTCAAACTGCACAGTGTACAATGTATGTGCACTGTACATACAAGAGTATAGGACCCTATAAATTTTAATTTTTACCTCTGGCAATCAAAAATATGTGAATTTTAAGATTTCAGTTTTTACCAGTGCTTCATATTTTAAATTCATCATAGAACTTTTACTATCTATATCACTAGGCTGTAAATTTGTAGAATTTCTACATTAATGAAGATAAAATGTTTGAATTTTCATTTGTCTGACTACATGTGCATTAAGTCAGTCTGATATGTATATACATGTATTTATGTACTGTTTATATGCATAATTCTTTTGTCATTGTAGCTATCACAGAACTGGTTAAAACTAGCATTTACATCAGCTAGAACTATCAAAATAGATGCATCAATTTCTCCACTGGGTATGATCACACTAAAGCATTTCACATTAATTTTATAGTATGCCAGTGTTAATTTTTTTTTTTTTAAAATGTTGTATAGGTGAAAGAATTAAATGTTATCTCTAGTATATTGATTTTTTTTTACTTAAATTAAGTATAGCTACCAATTCTACTTTTGCAAAATGTAATAGGTTTCAATTTCCCAGAAAAGTTTTGTATCAAAAGTTTGTTTCCATTTATTTTAAGAATTTCAGAAAATATAGTATAGCATGGTTTGTTTTGTACAATGCAATGTCATTTCATTCTACAAAAGTAATCATTATGTTTTTCACTTATTACATATATATTGTGTTGTAGCTACTCCCAAACAATTTGAACAATTCATTCAGGCAGCAAGTGTTTCCACCAATAAAATAAAAAGGTTTGCTCCATATAAGCTCTAAACCATACCTATTCCTAACAAGATTATTGAAATGTTTTGATAATAAAAACAGTAGAGTCATGTATATGCTTTCCATGTTACTCAATGCATTGTTTTGAGTATCACTTTTTTAAAACACCAATGAACCTTCCATAATGGTATTTCATTTTGTTTTCAGAATTGATTTCATCCAGAAGAACTGTTTGAACTGTGGACTGTTTGAAATATTTGCACCTGCTCAGAAATCCCTTCACAGCTTGTCTTTGAATTTGAAAGGCTGTTTTTAATTAAATAAATTTTCTAGATAACTAATACTTTGAATTTTTAACAGTACAATGGTGTGAAAGTTTGAAGCCTGTTAAGATTTGAGTATCTTTACTTGCATGTATTCTGACAGGTGCATAGCTGCTTATACGCAAATATTTATACGCAGGTGCATACACATCGTTTACAAATTTAAAAAAATGGGGGGGGGGGGAGGGAGGGAGAGATTTGTGAGAAGAAAAAAAGAAAAAATATCAATACCATCCAGCAAATATTTCTGTTTCAAATTATTTTATCTCATACTGTTTCGATTCAAATTCAAATTCTATATTACCATGTCTTTATAAAAAAAAAAAAATTTAAAAAAAATTGTAATTTTTTATTAAATCATTGCCAAACCAAATAAAACATTCATTAATTTGTAATTCTTCTACAACACATTGATAATTTATTTTAAGATCTTTGAGAAAATATCAACCGTTGAATGCTGTGATCCACTAGAATATGATTTGAAATATTATTTTTATTAAAAATTGAAATTATTAATTATATTTGCTGCCGAAAGATGATACCAATATATCTTTTTAAAAAATATTCAGCCTGTACATGTACAATAAATTTGCACGGAAGTATTTAACTTTGTGTTAAAAACGATATTACTATGTCTTGTATTTTCTAAAGAAAATCGAAATGGCATGATTTTGAATGAAATATTTGGTAAAAACCATGAGCTTCCAGGGACTTCGCCCCTGAGTCCTCATCTGGACCCACTGGGGGTCTCAAAGCGGACCCCAGCCGTTCTCTGCGTACATTTCACTTCCATTCTGGTATGCGCCTGTCTGTGTTTTGGGGTACAACAAGATCTAAATTTCAGCACGTATATTGTGTTCACCTGTTCTTTAACAGAGTATCTGTTTCTGTATTACAAAGTTTTTACTATGATTATCTTGTTTGCGCATTGATTGATAATTACTCAAAAACATGAGACTAAAGCCCCCCCCCCCCCCCCCCTACGCCGATATGATTTGTGCTACAATACCCAAATAAGTAAAACCTGATGTAAACACTGTTTAATA